TAAAAATTTATAATATCTTCTTCGCTAACATAAGCTGGTAATCTAACAATGATTTGTTTTTCATTCATATTATTCATATTATTTTTTGGTATTGAAGATGATCGTGAGAGTTGTTCTTTGAAGAATTGTGATTGGGATAAAACTATAGAGTGTAAACGAAGCTCAGATGGTATTCCAGTGCAGTTGGCTAGAACTTCTCGATCTTCAAATGTTAATCTAACATCACTATACATTCTCCCATCATTCCAAAATAACTCACCCACACTTGGATAGTTATTAACAATATCTTGTTTATGTATTGAATTATGAGGTGAATGTTTTCGTTTGTAACTACTTGTTCTCGATGTGTTAGATGTGTTAGATGTGTTGGAGGAACTATCAAAGATCGGAAATGACAAATTTTCATCATTTTGTTGTTGTAATGGTGCAACATCCAAGAAATTGACACTATCAACGTCCGAAGTTTGAAGTTCAACATCTATATCAGGTTCTATAAGTGGTAAACGGTCTTCATTCGTGATGGATGTCATTTTCGACGAGTAAAATTTATATCAGTACTTTTGAGAGTTTATTAGATTTTAAAATATTAATGATAATATTAATAATGGGTTAAAAAAATTTTTTTTTATTTTTTTCAATAGGATTCCCGAACAATGTATAGAGATTGCAATTTAGATTTTTAAAGTATATATATCCAAATTTCTTTTTTGTCCCCCCATTTTTATTTGGTTATTCAATTTTAAAATTTATATAAAATTTATATAAAATTTATATAAAATTTATATAAAATTTATATAAAATTTATATAAAATTTATATAAGATTTATATATTTTATCCATCTTTTAATAACATAAAAAGCCATTAGCCACATTCATTTTCACCAATAGTCTGTTTTCAGACATATCATTTTGTAAAAAAACTTCAATGTAACCTTTAAATGTATTGTACTTTAGAGTTTTGTTATCGTCATACTTTTTAGATCTCAATATATTTTTATGCCCAAATAAGGGGAATGGTTAAAGCAAAGGCTCATTCACGTGATAGGGTTTATAAATAGATTGATATTTTTATTGGTTTAAAGTCAAATTAATGCACGTGGATTTAAGCGATCCCAAATGAGGCTTAATTCATATGCAGGGATACGAATTTTGATGATCATAATTATAGCGAAAGTAATAGTTGCAGTCCAGATCCAAGTTAAAACTATTGTTCTGCAAACGGGTACTGGAACGGGACATTAATATTTTTATAAAATACCAAATGTTTCATTACATAATCGGGTATAAATTAAATGAATTTTGGCCGGGGTTTTGGATCCTGGACCGATCCTAAAAGGTATTTCCGATAAATACACCTAATTTTTTTAGTGACGATTATCTTTTTATTATAAGGTAGTAACATGTGAGGAAGATTTATTGTTATCGTTATATATCAAAAGTAGTGACATGCGGATGGGGCTTTAAACCGATGACAAGGGCGCTAGGAACAGTTAATACAGTTAAACAATTAGAAAATTGTTTAGTGATTCCAATCTAGATTTGTTTTTATTTAGAGTATATCTTATTTCCCTAGTTGGCATTCTGTTTACACACAATATGTTACGTACTCGATTTTATAAATATCCATATTATTGCATCAAAAATACTGCAGTATATTAGTATAACATCGTTATTACGCCATCATTATAAATTTAGTATTAATATTGTTATTTGATTGGTCAAATTAATGGCAGTGTTGGGCAATTTTACCAATCTTAAATTACTGGACTTACAAAAATGTCCAACACTGCCTGGTGAATCTGACATGCTAAATTACTGGACTTACAAAAATGTCCAACACTGCCTGGTGAACCATTACATGCACAAAACAGCACAAAACAGCACAAAACAGCACAAAACAGCACAAAACAGCACAAAACAATTAGCATGCCTTCATATGTACGTACGTACGTACGTACGTACAGTACATAGTATCTGATACAGTACGCCATAAGTCAGAATGGACATGTACAAAAAAAGAAATGCCAAAAACTCAAAATTTTGCTATAGTTCAATTTATTTGTTTAAACCATACTGAAGCAAACATGACCAAAAAAGGCCATGAATAATAAACTGCGCAACACTACGTAATAGAATACGTTGACAAATTTTTGAAAATTATACTATTAACGTTATTGCTATTTTCGAGTAATCGAATACGTTGACAAATTTTTGAAAATTATACTATTAACGTTATTGCTATTTTCGATTTAGAGTGTTCTCAAGCATCTCACTCAATGGATCGGAGGCAAATCTATAATTAGTTGGAAATTGAATCAATTAACCAAGTGAGTTATTAACCAAGTGAGTTATTAACCAAGTGAGTTATTAACCAAGTGAGTTATTAACCAAGTGA